CAGACACATATAGCCAGATACACACATTGATACACACACAGCCAGGTACATAATTACATAGCTGAAAAGAGACTTGCGTCCATCAAGTTCAGCCTACCTCACATTTGTTTTTTGCTGTTGATCCAAAAGAAGGCAAAAAACTCAGTTTGAAGCACAGTTTTGCAACAAGCTAGGAAAAAAATTCCTTCTTGACCCCAGAATGGCAGTCAGATTTATCCTTGGATCAAGCAGCTATTACCCTACATTGAAAAATGATATCCTTGAATATTCTGTTTTTGCAAGTATGCATCTAGTTGCTGTTTGAACATCTGTATGGACTCTAATAAAACCACTTCTTCAGGCAGAGAATTCCACATCCTGATTGTTCTTACAGTAAAAAAACCTTTCCTTTGCCTTAGACGAAATCTTCTTTCTTCCAGTCTAAACGCATGGCCTCGTGTCCTATGTAAAGTCCGGTTTGTGAATAGATTTCCACACAATGGTTTGTATTGGCCCCGAATATATTTGTATAATGTTATCATATCCCCTCACAGGCGACGTTTTTCTAAAATAAATAGGTTTAAATTTGTTAACCTTTCTTCATAGCCGATATGTTCCATTCCTTTTATTAATTTTGTAGCCCGCCTCTGCACTTTTTCTAGTGCCATAATATCCTTCTTTAGAACAGGTGCCCAAAATTGCACAGCATATTCAATATGGGGTCTTACCAGTGATTTATAAAGAGGCAAAATGATATTCTTGTCCCGAGAATGAATGCCCTTTTTCATGCATGACAATACCTTACTGGCCTTGGCCACTGCTGATTGACATTGCACATTGTTGCATAGTTTGTTGTCTATAACAAATCCCAAGTCCTTTTCGTGTGTTGTTATCCCTAATTCGCTTCCATTAAGGGTATACGTTGCTTGTGTATTCTTTACGCCGAAGTGAATAACTTTGCATTTTTCAACATTAAATTTCATCTGCCATTTGAGTGCCCAGTCCCCCAGTCTATCTAAATCCATCTGCAGCAAAGTAATATCTTGCTCACATTGTATTGTTTTACAAAGTTTGGTGTCATCTGCAAACACTGAAACATGACTTTCAATGCGGTCTTCAAGATCATTTATAAACATGTTAAATAGAAGGGGTCCCAGAACAGACCCATGAGGGACAACACTTGCCACCTCTGTCCAGCTTGAAAATTTACCATTAATGACAACTCTTTGTACTCTGTTTTTAAGCCAATGTTCTACCCAAGAACAAGCATTTTCATCTAGACCGATTTCCTTGAGTTTGAACACTAATCTATTGTGTGGAACTGTATCAAATGCCTTGGCAAAATCCAAATAGATCACAGCAACACCCTGATCTATACTTCTACTTACTTCTTCGTAGAACGAAGCCAGATACACACACTGACATACACACATAGCCAGATGCCCTGACTCAGACCCAGGTACACACACATTTATCAATTTACATCATATTTTAGCCACCCTCTTTTCTCCTTACCTATTGGGTAAGCTGGATGGCCAAGGCTGATGGGAGTCTGACTTCCTCAGTCCCTTTCCTCCTCCTGTGCCTCCTCCACCTCCCCAGCGGCACTCTGTTACTTGTTATATCACCTCACTTCCTCCCAGCAGGCAACATGAAAGGGGCCCAGGCCGGAGCACTCTTAAAGGGCTGAGGGCCCCTAATTACATCAGGTGCTGCAGTCCACAGGGTTTGGATGCCGGCAGGGGTCCCACCGGGCAGCTACTTTGGGCCCAGGGCAGCTGCCCCTTTTGCCCCCCTTTAATGACATCCCTGACACAGGCAGACAGTCAAACACAGAGGAGCCCCCCCTCCACCCTCCTCTGTCCATTATGGGCTGGAGTGGAGGTAGTGCAAATCCTGGAGTATGGATGTTGGTGAAGCAGGGATTCCTTCCTGCTTCCCCCTTCCTGTGCAGCAGTTACCCCGACCGATGTCTTATGGGCACATTTAGCCCCACCCCACCATCATTAAGCCCTGCCGAGCTGAGTGCCCTGGAAAGGCTATTGCCTGTTTGTCTCAAGGAGCCGGGTGAGGCCTAGTGGAACCACTGCACGGGATCGTCGGACGCTCTGTTCCACGCAGAGCAGCCTCAAGACGGAACCTCCTCTGCTGCCCCATTCCCTCCCTGTGGATCGGTGGGGATTATCCCGATCCCCTCCTGGAGGGCACATCATTTATGCGGGAGACTTGCGGTACTGCCGAGGCACTAACTACAGGCACGAACCGCAGACCCAAAATGGCAGCGGCCAGTGCGTGCTCCCAGTTACACCAAGAGGAGAAGTCTGACTTACTACACCTTGTTCCAAATTATTATGCAAATTCTATTTAAGTGTCACAAAGATTAAATATTTTGTTTTTCAGTTTAACTCATGGGTGGCAGTGTTTCTCAGGGCTCTTTTGATCACTGAGAACAATCTCGGACACCTGTGATAATTAGATTGCCAGGTGAGCCCAATTTAAGGAAAAACTACTAAAGGAGGGTGTTCCACATTATTAAGCAGAGCACCATTTCAATGCAATATGTGGAAGAAAAAGGATCTCTCTGCTACTGAAAAGAGTGAAATACCTCAATGCCTTGGACGAGGTATGAAAACATTAGATATTTCACGAAAACGTAAGCGTGATCATCGCACTATTAAGAGATTTGTGGCTGATTCAGAGTACAGACAGGTTCGTGCAGATAAAGGCACATTGAGAAAGATTTCTGCCAGATCCATGCATCGGATCAAGAGAGCAGCTGTTAAATTACCATTCCATAGCAGCAAACAGATATTTGAAGCTGCTGGTGCCTCTGGAGTCCCAGGGACATCAAGGTGTAGAGTCCTCCAGAGTCTTGCAACTGTGCATAAAACCTTCTATCCGGCCACCACTAACCAGTGTTCACAAGCAAAAACGGCTGCATTGGGCAGAAAAATGCATGAAGACTAATTTTCAAACAGTCCTGTTCACTGATGAATGCCGTGCAACCCTGGATGGTCCAGATAGATGGAGTAGTGGATGGTTGGTGCGACAACAACAAGGCGGTGGTGGAGTGATATTTTGGGCCAAAATCATGGGAAGAGAGCTGGTCGGCCCCTTTAGGGTCCCCGAACGTGTACAGATGACCTCTGCAAAGTATGTGGAGTTTCTAACTGACCACTTTCTTCCCTGGTACAGAAGGAAGAACTATGCCTTCCGTAATAAAATCTTCATGCATGACAATGCACCAGCTCATGCTGCAAAGAATACCTCTGCATCAATAGCTGCTATGGGGATAAAAGGAGAGAAAGTCATGGTGTGACCTCCATCATCCCCTGACCTCAATCCTATTGAGAACCTTTGGAGCATCCTCAAGCAAAAGATCTATGAGGGTTGGATGCAGTTTACATCCAAACAGCAGCTCTGGGAGGCTATTCTGACGTCTTGCAAACAAATTCAAGCAGAAACTGTCCAAAAACTCAAGTTCAATGGATGCAAGACTTGTGAAGCTGCTATCAAATAAGGGGTCCTATGTTAAAATGTAACGTGACCTGTTAAAATGTTTAAAAAGTAAAAATGTTGTTATAAGTTTGATTAAAATAGCTTTTGATTTCAGTAAATATGCTGCAAACACAAAAAAAATGAAATTTTCAGTTCTTTACAACCTATAAAGTGTTTTGAAACTTACTGTGCATAATAATTTGGAACAGTGCATTGTAAGTTTTTTATGTTTAAAATAAATACTGTTATCATTAGGAGGTTTGTTCAATAAAATTTGAATTGTACTCTTAATAGTTGATAACATGAGAATTATGCTGACTGTTATTTACACATACTGACAGACACACACATCACTCAGACACACTGACAGAAATACACCCTCTCACTCACAGACACACACACACACACAATAACACACTGACAGATATACAGACACACTGAAAGACATACACACACTGCCAACCAGCCTGCCTAACACCGACACCCTCCCCTCACCCCCCAACATTCACAGATTATTTTTTAATTTTAATTTAAATCCACCCAGCCTCCCTACCTTTTGGAGATCTGGGTGTTTTTTTTACCCGGGGTCCAGTGGGGCTGCTGACCAGGCTGCTTGGGCAGGGAGGGAGGCAGTTGTGCATGAATTCCAAGGCAGCCGGCGAGGGAGCGCTGATTTGTGAGCTCTCTGCTCAGCTCCCTTGCATCACCCTGCGGCACGCAGCAGAGAGAGCTCACAAATCAGTGCCGCCCGCCTTGGAATGCTGCTAGCCACCTGCCCAAGGCTAACAAGGTATTTGCTTGGGCATTTGGGGGGTGGTGTTTTTTGCCGCCCCCTGGAAAGTGCCGCCCAATGCAAATGCCTTATTTGCCTCGTGGCAAATACGTCACTGCCCCTCGCGACGCCACTACCTCCAAAAGGGGAAACTATAATTGAGGAGACTCTGGTCTGGATTCCAAATTTAACAATATAATATAATATATACAAGCACACTAAAAAATCCAAGTGGGGGGGCGGAGCCAGCTGCCATACCGTCCGGATGCATAACGATAGAGCTCCGGGCCGTTTCTAACAACATAGCCTGAATACCTACCTTTCCAGCACGGCACCTGACTGCCTAGTGAGAGGACCTGTCTCCAATAACGATAGGACAAAAATCAAAGAAATACAAAGCGGATAAACTCCCAATTTCCGCCGACATCGGGGAACTCCTGAGAAGGCCGCAAGGCGCGGTGAAGTCTGTCATGGCCCCTTTCTCTGACGGGTTGTCCTACTCCTCAAGTGAAATTTCCCTCCCAGATTTAGATGAACTGGCCACAACAGCTAGCAGACCGAGTGTTGTCTTACCTGCAAAGCGGTCGGAAGGCTCACCGGTGACAGAGGGAACCTTGAAGGCCCTGCCGGATGACCTCCGCCGTAATATAGCTACTGATATTAACTCCTCAAAGAGGAGATTAGCGGAGTGTGGAGACGCCTCCACAACGCGGAGATAACCACGGCCACCCACAAGGTCCCCCTCAATAATATGGAGCTCGAGCTCAACGAGATGCGTCGTGAACAGGCCCAGGCGCAGAGCCACTTGGCGGCAATGGAAGACCGCAGGAGGTGGAAAAATTTCAAAATAAGGGGCATCCCAGAGCAAATCGACAAGGCGGAAATCCCCCAATTAGGAGACTACTCACACACCTTCTCAGCCAAGCAGAGAGATGCTTCAAACTCCCAGCGACTCCATCACGTTCCACTGAGGTGAGCAGGGATGCCATCATACGATTTCAGAATGGGCCGGATAGGCAAGCATTCCTAACAGCACTGCGGAATAAATCACCATACGAATTTTAAGGACACACGCTACTGTTCTACCCAGACCTGTCCAGAGCAACGCTGGACTGGCGAAGATCCCTAAAACCGCTGACGACGGAACGGATACGACACCACATACCCTATAAATAGGGCACCCCAAAATGCCTGTTGATCCCCCAGGAATCTGGCAAACTCAAGGTCCAGGTGCCCTCGGAAATAAAAGACACACTACAACAGCTGGGACTGACCGTGACACCAGAAGGTACATTGCCAATAACCAAGCTGCAGCCGCACACCTGGAACCCAGCTAAGACTCTCCCGTTTGTGCCAGCAGCTAAGCGAGGCAACCCTGCTTCAGCAGTCATCCCCTGATGAACTCATTCGATCTCAGTGCCTCACTAGACTACTACCGTTCTAGCTCTACTAGGCTAACAATGGTTTTATGTTTCAGTTATATGTTTCACAGTTATAATATTTTTTACAACAACTTTGATTGAACCCTCATATTAGATACAATGTCGGCTGACAATCTCCCCCATCCACTGGCTCGAGGGTTACATCTCTTAACACCCTTCCCACCCTATGACCTCACATTAGTACCAACTTGTCACCTTATGTGTGCTAGCCTCTTGAACACGTAGGCTCATGCTGACCTAACCCCTCCCAGGCCAAGAGGCATAAGGCCCACACCGCCTCCACACTACAAAACTTAAGCCAACTTACTTCATCATAGGAGGCAATGGGCCAAGAAGGCAACACAACAGGCTATGCAACACCTCTCCTCTATCACAGATAAACATAATAGCCTGCAACTCACCATTTTACACTATAAAAAATGTGCTGTGCTTTTACTGCCATGCCGTTGTTTGTGTTATATTGAACTATATATGCTTGCTTCTGCTGTCATGGCAGCGCATGTGATGTTGTTATACCATGCACAACAAAAATTAAAAAAAATCCAAGTAATCTTTATTGAATTAACATTTTACACATTTGGCAGAATCTTGAGTAGGGTTTAGACTCCTTTTTTGGTGTCACTTTTATCGATACGAACAGCTGCCACTATTCTACCTGGTTAAATGGGATTCCTAAAATTCAACGTATTCAATTAAAACAAAATTGCACTAATGCAGAACTTTTCTCCAAACACGCCTATTTCCTCAAGATAAACTCGAGAAGAAATATGAAAAATGGCTAGATCTTAGGTCAAGGGCAGGGTCTTCTTTACCTTTTGTAGTGGTCTGTGCATAGTGTATATGCTACCCTAAATGTACAGCGCTGCAGAACATATTGGCACTTCATAAATGCCAGTAATACATAAAGACATTGGACTACTGGACAGAAAAATTACCCCAATATCAGAATCTGAAAAAATAGGACATTACAGTACCTCTTATTACTCATTCCAATGTACATGTATAATGACTCGACCATTTTTTTGGAGCCTGTTTTTTCTTCATATACATTTTTTCTTCTTTTTAATACATCTTTGTAAATTTATAGACCGAGACAAATATATAAAAACACTATTAATTGTACTTGCTCTGCTTCTTTTTCCCTAATCATTATGCTTAATCCAAATAAAACTGAAAATCTTATGTGGTAACCTTTTCCCTTTGACCTTTCACCAATTAACCCAAATTATGTCATTTTGATGCAAAATTTTAAATTTACAGCCACTTACATATGCAGGCAACTTTCAGGAATCATCCACACTCTTTGAAATAGTTTTTTGAGAGTGTGAAAACCTGTTAAATGTTGTTTTAATGTATATTGTACTACTGAAAAAAAAATTGTTATACCAGTTTAATAATATAAGCTATGTTTTTATTCTGTTCCTAGATGCCCTCTCATCTTTAACTACTCTACATGGATTCATCCTTTGTCTTAATACTGACCACTAAAACTGTAAAGATTGAGCATTACCACGAATTGCTTAGACAAATTTAAGTAGAACTCTTTTATTCAACTCACGGCGGTTGTCTATAGAGTGCAGTGGATTACATATTCTGCTGACTGTACCTGGCTGAACGTTCGCATTACATGTTTTACTGAGGACTCATACCAAGTATAAGAAGACATCTGTATATCCCAGGCGAAGATTGTTCCGTCCATGCACTGTATCCTAGAGCTGGTTTGAAGCTTCATTATATGCGAGTTCTTTTCTACTTTTATTCCAGTCCAGATAGTCAAATATACTCCACCTTTGTACTCTGTTTTTGTTTTACATATTCACTTATGCGAAGCACATCAGCCACCCCACTGCTATCCTAAATTCCTGATCTAGTTTTCAATTTCTTGTGGACGTGTATTGTAGTCTTAATTATCCTTCCATTGGTTAATGGCCCAAGTCCAAGACATACCTTCAACATATTTTAGGTAACAATCTTTATTTTCAGTCTCCATACTTATTTTCCATTCACTATATTCTTCAAATATACAGCTATCTGGTGCATTGGTTACTTAATAAATGGTCATTTCTCCTCGTCTGACTAGTTATATTTTGAATTAATCTTTGATATGCTTATAGATCAAGAAGGACATACTTGAAAATTAGAGAAATCTCAATGTATCCTTCCTGATAATATATTTTATAAATAAATGTGAAAACATTTACAAGAAGGACTACGAATCTGATAGAAGCAAGTATGTTTTCACAGGGCTGTATGTATATAAACACACATACAAGATCCCCAATACCATTCACAGAGCATATTCATCATATTTATACATATCAATTATAGATGTATAGAGATTTTAACAAAAATATATAAAGTACTCTCAAGACATAAAACATCTCAGTCATAACAATAACTTTATAGTTTAAAATCCAAATTTAAACATAATTACATAATATATGTAGTAGAAATTTCTGTGTTTATTTTTTTTGCGTTTTAAACTTTTTTTGAAAAAACCCAAAACTGTGAATAAAAAAAAGAAAGTGAACAAATAATACCAACGTGATATCACAATCTCGTTCTAACTCACCACTCCCTTATCCACATATAAAGAATGCTGGTAAAATAAAAAATAGAAATTTACAAATAAAAAAAGAAGTGTTCATAGGCAACACTGAATATGCTTTAATATTTTACTCTTCCTTTTACAGAGGTCTGCAGTACAGTGCCATGTTATGAAAACATCTGCCAACAAACCGGGTTAACATGTGATGGGTATATTAAGATTGCTAGATAAGAGGCACTTAAAGGACCACTATAGGCACCCAGACCACTTCAGCTTAATGAAGTGGTTTGGGTGCCAGGTCTATCTAGTGCTACTGCTATGTTTATAATAGGGTTAATCCAGCCTCTAGTGGCTGTCTCATTGACAGCCACTAGAGGCGCTTCTCACTGTGATTTATAGCCCGGCGGGAGGGGGGCCCTGAGGGTGGGGGCACCCTCAGGGCACTAAAGTGCCAGGAAAAGTAGTATATTTTCCTGGCACTATAGTGGTTCTTTAAGAGTAGAAGTGTTAACTCTTTTATAGAAGGATGTAACTACAATTAATTCTTGAAGTTGATCATACTAACGAGTCTCATTTATGAATTGCAATCTGCTAGAAAAGGGAGTGCGTAGCAGACATGCTAAGAAGGTTGGTAGACATTCTAAATGGTACAGAGGACCCATGTGCTACATTAAAGCCACATTTATTTAAATGCATCCTAATATATGCTACTAACCTAAAATGGCTTACTAATAAAATATTAAAAAAATAGATTCATGTTTGAGTTGGACATGGACACTATACTTTTAATACTTTTTCCCAAGCCATTTTCTTTCAACTACATTTCCTCTAAAATCATAAAACTTAATTTTTAGTGTCATCTGAATGCAATACAATCAGATTATTAGAAAGTATTACATTACATACTTGCAGTTCAAGGTGAAATGAAAACCCAAAAACGTTTCTAATACAAAGTTATTTTAACCAGCAGACTCTTTAAAGTAGTTTAAACAATATTCCACAAAAATATATATGTACGTAAGATATAGTCAAGAACTTCTGGGCGCAATTTTAAAACCAAAGTTGTATTTGTTATCAATGTACAAGTGATTTTTAAGTCATGAGAGCAATGCATTTAAAGGGACACTCCACTGTCCAAATAACAAATAACTAAAAATCCCTATTTATTAGATATACCCTAAATGAAAACTTGCATGCATTTAATTATGTCTTTTTTTTCATTGGGGGTATATCTAAAATCAGTTTGCAAAACATGCAGTTCTCTTGTCTGCTGCCTTTGCAAGCTCTCCCCTTCTAACCCCGTCCAGAATTTCTGTGGATGTCCAATGACAGACTTCTCAATGAGAAGTCTTTGTAAGTTAGGTTCTCGGAGCAATCCCTGCCTCTTGAGTTCAGCTGCATTGAGCTAACAAAACCAGGAAGTAAAATTACCCGTTGTCTGCTTGAAAGTCAAAGGGGTGTAACCAGCTGGATTTATAAAAGGGTCAAATTCAATTGAAATCTGCCCTTTTTTTCAAAATACAAAAATAAAAATATATTATTTTTTTATTTTTTTTAAAGGACACACTCTTTACACAAAGCTTTTCAGCAAGCTAATGTTGTTTAGGGGTCTGGAGTGACCCTTTAAGAATTATTTTTCTACTTCTTATGTTTACAGATTGGAAGTTAAATGTGCAAATGCAAAAATAAAATATTCATTAATTCAGATTGGAAAGCTTTAAATAATGTCTTTGTATACTAATCCAACAACATTAAGTCTTAACACCAAAGAAAGTTTATGAGAACCACAATGTACATGTGACAATATAAAGAAGAGGTGAACTTTATTCACAGGGTTTAAACTACAGTGTTCTCTTAAAAAATTGTAGAGTAAAAATGTTTTCAAACTAAATTATCCATGGTGTGTTTTCCTGTGTGTACTGGATTTAAAAAGTCAGGAAAGACAGAAAAAAGCCAACCCCCACCCCCCAAAAAACCCTTACCTTCATTCCACTGCCAAGTTCCCCCAGAGGAGCCCCAACCTCCTAACAGTGGCATTACTCCTCATTGCAAGAGAGGACTTGGTCACATGAAGGAGAATGAGGTGGGGAGTGGACCGGCCATTGTACCTTAGGACAGCTGTAGCCAGCATGCTGTGCACATTAGCCAACTTGGAACTCTTGATCTGGCTAATGACAATCTAATGATGCTGTTGATAGTGAAGTTACATCTCCAACAGCAAAAGGCTTTAACTCTAAATGCAGCATTAGACATACAAACTCCAGGCACCATGACCACTTGAAATCAGTGAAGTGGTCATAGTGCTTGGAGTAACGGCTTAAACTATATTTACAATCCAAGCCTGAAATGTTAACGGACATGCAGTAGCTGACCGTTTAAGAATCCATGCACAAAAGGAAAATGTGATGATATCTATTAGCCTTTGATGAAGAAGAAATACCACAATACTGTGCTTCTGTGGATTTTTCCTAAAAAAATGTTGATCACATTTAATGCATTAATACCATTTTTCTTTCAAAACATACTTCCTGATATTGTAAATTGCACGCACGCACATACATAATATCAGAGTAGAACAATATTACCTAGAAAATGTAGTTTTTGATTCAGAGTAACCAAATAATTTATTACAAATATCAAATGATGTGTTGGCACTCTACTACAGAGTGGTTCAGGTATTAGAGGTTACCCTCTGTAGAGACCTCAAACTCATATATAAAAAAAAGTAAATATTAATACCGCACTCAGACATTCATTATGTGTCAAAAAAATTATAATTCATTGGTTGTAATGCAAGAAAGTTAATTTATTATTCAATTAATATTGTGGAAAAATCTCAAATAAAGGAAGGAACTAAAATATTCCCTATTGAGAGTTCAATATATAAAATAGTGCAAAAACAGAAGTCACATTTGATATAATAAAAGTGTTGGGAACACAAAGTATCAAAAAATTATTAAAAGAACAGTAAAACAGTGACTTGTAATAAAAATTAAATAGTCTGGTACCAGGGATAGATGGAGTAAAAGTACAGAAATTAAATATGCATAAATTAGTTAGGTCCAGCTCAAAACTGGACAAAAAAGGGAGGTCACCAATCCTCTCTAAATGGATAGATTTAGGTATATCATTAATAGAAATATTCCAGGAGCTAGTCAAATTGCAGCAATAGGGAAATTCAATAGATAAGATGTAACTAGTTATTCAAAGTAGATAAATATAAAACAACCTTGAGAAATAGCAAATAGTTCATATACAAAGTCTTGTGATGGAAATCGATAAGTCAATTATAAAATAGAATAGCTTCTCATTAAAGTCCAAACGTCCACAAATTGTAGCAAAGGGGAATTTCACACAAAACTGTGTATATAGAAAATACACAGCTATGGAGCCCTATTGCAAATACATTATAATTTACTGACACTCTTGAGAGGTGTCTCCTACTGTTAAAGGAGACACCTCTCAAGAGTGATTGAGCATCCTGTCGGTACTATTTTTATCACTTATTTTATCATTTGTATGTTACTTTGATTCATCCATTGGAAACTTTATTTAAGACTTGGAACTTTTTACAGAAGCATTTCCCTCCTTTTTCTTTATTCACTACCTTTTTCTACTTTTAGCAAACAGTTAACCAAGGTACTGTATTGCTTCCTTTTTCTTTGATTTGCGGTTATGTTTATCCTTCATTTTTATTTTTTATATAGCTATACATACTTTGTGGATCCACCGGACTAACTATGAACTATTGATCTTGATTTACTATGATCACATTGTATTTTAGTAAATTTTTTATTTTTTTATTTTTCCACAATATTAATTGAATAATAAGTGAACTTTCTTGCATTACAACCAATGAATTAATTTAAAACAAAAAATTTTTTATTTATTTTTTTATTTATTTTTTACACATAATGTGTCTGACTGTGGTATTAAAATTTACTTTTTTATAAATAATTTATTACTACCTACAATAGTATAAAACTATATTTTCTAGAATACATTTTTCAGAACAGAAGGACATAACCTAGAAATCAACGGCCTAAATATTTCATTGCCACATTCTTAGTAAAGATAACAAGTGGTGAAATTGTTCAGAAAATAATTTAAATAAAAATTGCATGTTACAATTCAGGTGGGAACTAAAGTGGTTTAATTGTGTAAAGAGGCTTACTTTAGAGAGAAACCATCTTCATGTCATAATAGATTTTTTGATCATAAATAATGGTCATCTTAAAAAAAGATGTAAACAAATGGTCATGATACTCTTCACTAGCTTGCTGCTTTGTGAAAAAAAAACCTCAATAGGTTTTCTTTTGAACTTAAAGGGACACTATAGTCACCAAAACAACTTTGGATTAATGAAGCAGTTTTTGTGTTTAGATCATTCCCTTGTAGTATCACTGCTCAATTATCTGCCATCTAGGAGTTAAATCACCTTTCTTTCTGTCTATGCAGCTCTAGCCACACCTCCCCTGGCTGTGACTCACACAATTAAGCGGTGAGACTACAAGTGCATTCACTATACATCAAAACGGTTTCATTAAGCTAAAGCTGTTTTGGTGACTATAGTGTCCCTTTAAAAATAAACATATAAATAGTGGTGTTTCTCATCCTCCATATGCAGTATATCATAGCCAAGAAGAAGATTATATGGAATTATGGAATCTCAGTGGTAACTAAATGCAAATGTTTTTTTTTACTTTTATGTCAAACTGACAAAGGTATGCTTATCCGTTATTCATATAAAATATATGACAAAAAAAATGCACTGCTTTGTACCAGTATCATCTCTCATACTGGCAAAACGGTCAGTCTGGCAATTTACTCTAACTTAGATGCACTGTCATTTTTTGTTGTTGAGAGTTTACACTCTGTTTACATGAGCACACATGAATTGTACTGTGCATAATTAGTTCAGTCATTTAAAAACATTAAAGGGTTACTCCATGCACCATGACCACTTCAGTGTTTTATCCTTTATGTGTGGTGTTTGAATATTAAATGTTGCACATACTTCAATATCTAATGCTGCCGCCAGAGTTCTTACTCTAGCTATGGCAGTTTATGTCAGTTCTGTGCATATTCCTTGCACAGGTGTCAGTCATTGGCTGAGAGCGCTCAGCTGACATCCTCAGTCAATGAATGACTGGCAGGGTCAGAATCTGGCTTCTGCAGATATGTTCTGCAAATACTGAGGGAGGCTTAGCACCCAGCGAGACCTAAGTAAGCAGCAAACTATCATAACATTTATTTTTTTCCTCTTACCAGGGAATGGCGCCAGGATACTTCTTGCATCATTACCACCAGAGTGGACTGTAGTACCAACAATGCTTGGAGTAACCCTTTACATTCTTAACTACTGCATAAAAACAGATGAATTATTTTAAATGATTTAATGATAAATAATAAACATTGTCAAGTTAGAATGTTTAAGGTTTTAGACAATAGTGGTTCACAACACATTCTGTATGAACACCAGGAAACATTGTATGATGTCTGTATGTCAATTTCACTTGCACAGGAAGATTGGGGACGTGCACAGAAGATCCATCATTAAAGAATATGAATGCATACTCCATCCTTCCCACTTGAACTTTTGATAGTCCCCTAACAGTCCAGACAAACCACAAGAGGTAGTTACCTCTCAAATTGCAAAAAACAAAACCAAATCATATATTATGTATTTAAAATTTGTGAATATAAAAACAAAAGGCAGCATAACATAAAAATTTGAAAAACAGACAAACATTTCTAATTAAGGGGAAATATATAGTTAGATGTAAAATATATTGTGAACCTGAAACTCAATCCTGAGTATACCCATGGCAGTGTTGCATCCACTTATACCGGTATCAGATAAGAAGTTGTGTATCTCATGTGATCATGGTCATACTGTGAAGTAATACAACCAATATTTTGGTTTTACATGCAGGAAAAAAAAAAAAAACTAAAATTAGTGTGTAACTAAATATAAACTGGTATAATATAATATTTTGGGTCTCACTTTAAAATATTCCTTTGAGTTTTCCACCAATTACATATTTAGTTTATTGATATATCACTTTTGATCTGATAAAGAAAAATATGGTTGTTAAAAGTAAAAAAAACAAAAATAACAAAACAAAAAAAAACACAGCTTATTTCCAATTTTCATTGGGATTTTAAACAAGGTCATATATTCATATGACATAAAGAAACCAGACCATCTGACTGATATTCAAGCCAAAGTAACACTTTAAAATATAAAAAGTAAAATAGGAAGCCTACTATACAAGGCAAATATTTTTCTCCTTTATAAAAAGGATCAAATATGTCATACTATTAATTATGTTGAATTAAGCCACAAACCTAATAAAAGTCAGTCGTGTGAGGCAGGTAATTACACTGAAATGCAACAAATGTCAATGTTAAAGAATTCAGCTACCTATTGCAGAAACCTACTAGTCATTAAGTTATCATATATGGGAAATTAATTTGTTGCATAATGATGTGCCCAAAGTGATAGGAAAGACAGGTCTGGTTAGTTATACAGATTAGAAGTGATGTAGTATTTTCTGTTACCACATGTCCAAATATCTATAATGCTTGGCCCCTGCCAGAGGTAGGTCACCATTTTGGATTTAGTAAATCTCTCCTTTAAGGCAGTCTTCATCTTCAGACCCCTCTGTAGTGAAGTATACACTTAATACTGTCATGTGTTTCCCAGATTGCCAGAAATGGTCCAAAAGTTGCCACATGTCTCAATTACGGCAAAGAAGTCACTGTGGTGCCTAATATACAAGTAGCAAATAGAAGATTTTCAGAATGCAGTGCTTGCCATGGCTCCAGGAGCAAAAATTCGTGGCAAACTGCCCAGTGTCTCTTCCAAATGTCGATAGGCAATTTTGCCATCATCACCTGTATGAACAAAGAATGAAAAATGCTAGTTAAAATGTTTTTTTTTCCCAACATAGCTCTTGGCACGTTATACAAATAATTTCCATTCACAATCAGTTGAATTTGTAACCTATAAATTTATGTCAAGGTGTTTCTAAAGTTTTGGGGGCCAGCAGACATGTTTTGACTGTATGAAGATGCATAATTTTCCAAGACCTCCTATGGTGACATCACTGCTGAATGTCCAGTGGTGAAGAGGGTGGATGAGATTTAATTACCTAGTGTAAATACAGCACTGACGTCTTAATGATCCTGATAAAAGTCCAGAACGGGGACTTAAACGTTGATTCTGATTTTCAGACTTCTTCAATAAAGTATGGAATTTTATATTGAAAAAACATTTAATTTCAGCATATATGAATATTGAGCCTTGGCTTACAGCACCCAGCAAGAAACATCTTGGTTGGTTTGAGTGCAAGGACTATTGGGAATTATATAGCCCCAACTTCGGGAGGGAGGGAGAGAGGGAGAGAGAGAGGAAGTGTGTGTGTATACACACACACATACACTTTTTTACAATCTTTATTTGTATTGTTGCTTTTCAGTTAGGGAATTTGAGATGCAAGGGAAAATTAAAATATGATAGTGCCATTACATGGACAGTATTGACAAGCTTCGGAATAGTACGTAATCCATAACTTTAATTTCATAGCTATCCTTCTTTGAATGTGTGGCAAGATCCTTAACATATGTTGAAATCGGAAAATAGGGATCAAGTACAGTAGGGGGATAAAGGAGGGGTAGAGGCCACTCCACTATACTCCTTCCCTACTGTAACAGAGCTCCCTGTACCCCTAGCTGGGTACCTCCGCCAAGGACCGCTTCCTAGCTGGAACAGGGGACAAATTGCAGCACTTCTGCCCACAGTTGCCGTGGCTTGACTGGGGCCCTGGAACCGCTCCTTCCTGGAGCCGAATGGGGAATTAGCTCTAGTCCTTACAAGGACTTTCCCCATCGAATCCCCTGCAAGCTGGAACAGCAGAAACAGGAGTAAATCTTCTTTCCCTCCAACAATAGGACGACACACAGTTTTGGAGTCTAAGCTGGAATGGATTTTAATGGTGCCACACTGGCCTTTTATGCAAGTCCCCAAGCAAGGGTGACACCTACATGGACCTTGTTGGGGACAGGGATACAAACTTCCAAACCAATAACAACACATTTACAATGTAAGGCACTCCCACACAAGGCAAACAATCCTTCCCCTCTGCTTGGGAGATAATTGAAATAATTACTGTATCAACTCAATTATCTCCAGGCAGAAAAAACACACATTTCTAAAAAGTTATTTCCCCAAAGTACCCCAAAACACAACATATCCCCGTAAAAGTCACATTCCCTGATAGCCCTGATCTGGGTGAACAACATATCCAAAAATCACCCAGATTAGAGCAGGGGTTCAGGAATTTCCTGGAAGTCATAATACTGACCGACCGTGCACATGGTCCTATACCCAAAACACTTCCATGAAATCAGTGCTAATAGTCGGTCAAGTTTAGTAGTCTTTTACAGGTTCCCCTGCAGGGCCTATAGTCTGTGGGCAGGAGGCTGGCAAACAGGCTCCACCAGGAGCTTGTGGCAAACTCACTTGGAGAGGGGAGTTTGTCACACCTAAGTCATTGGTGCATTCCTAACCATGCAAAAATATTTAATTAGTCTATAAGGATCTTGGAGTCTCCATTAGGGCTGTAATCTGCCAATTCCTGACAATGTTGCTCACCAAAAGGTAAATTATTGTTTAAGTCACTTGGCTTTTGAGTACAAATATAAGAATATAGAATGGGCTACTGGGGATAACCCCCATATGATCTTTGACATCAGCTACATAAATGTTACAATGATAGCCAATGTAATGGGAGAATACTAGATAAACATGGAGGCTAGAAAAAAAAAAAGATTGTATGTA